CAAGATCGTTGTGGCACTGCCGTAACGCAGCTACGTGGTACATAACCGGTAGACGTGGTGCCCGAGATCAGAAGGCCTGTGCTCTCATGAAGAGCCGATGTAATGGCTTAGGCATGCCCTGTAATGCTTGTGGTTGCGGATGCGGGGATCGCTGCTGCCCCACTTGCGGAAATGGTAAGAAGTGTTGTGACAAACAACGTTCATGCATTCCTGACTTCAAATGTTGCCCGGGTCAATGTTCAACAGATCAGGAATGCTGCCGCGGCGAATGCATTGGCAAAGATGAGTGTTGCGAGATCTGTGGAGCCGGAACCTGTTGCAACGGCCGGTGCATCGGCCAAAATGAATGCTGCGACTGCACACGGGACCAACAGTGCTGCAATGGCCGATGTGTCGGCAAAGACGAGTGTTGCGAGGACTGTGGAGCCGGATCCTGTTGCAACGGCCGGTGCATCGGCCAAAATGAATGCTGCGACTGCACACGGGACCAGCAGTGCTGCAATGGCCGATGTGTCGGCAAAGACGAGTGTTGCGAGGACTGTGGAGCCGGATCCTGTTGCAACGGCCAGTGCATTGGCCAAGATGAATGCTGCGACTGCACAGGGGACCAACAGTGCTGCAATGGCCGATGTGTCGGCAAAGACGAGTGTTGCGAGGACTGTGGAGACGGATCCTGTTGCTAAGGCCGGTGCATCGGCCAAGATGAATGCTGCAACTGTGACGGCACATGTTGTGCTGGTGGAGTTTGCCAGTTCAGCTGTTGCCCAGAAGACCCTTGTTGTGAAGACCCTTGCTGTGACGATCCCGACCCTTGCTGTGGATCCAGCGACCCTTGCTGTGGATCCAGCGACCCTTGCTGTGGATCCAGCGACCCTTGCTGTGGATCCAGCGACCCGTGTTGCGCAAACCCGGAAGGGGAGTGCAATCCATGCAACGGCGACGAGCCTTGCCCCTGCGAAGATGGATCCTACATATGTCAAGGTTATTGTGTCCCAAAAAGCGCCCGCTGCTGTACCCCCGACAGTTGCCAGAATGCCAATGGCCCAGGTTGCAACGGATGTTGCTCGAGGAGGCCTGACAGCTGTTGCGCTGGAGGTTGTGCGTGCTTTAATCCGCCAAGGTGTGAGCGGTAGCCTTTTGCACACAGATTAGATGTCGTTTTAAATTGGGCCTCTGGGAATTCCTTTTGGCCGGTGCTGAAAAAATGCACGTTGCTTGCACATGTCGGCACGCCAGTTGGTAAATTGCCACTGGAAAGTTGTGCGTCTTTGGTTGTCTGCTGGCTGCCAATGCTGCGCCAGATGATCTGTTACGCTTTGTGGCACGAAGCCCAGTCTGGCTTGAGCCCTCACCCTAAACCCCAAGCCCTAAATCCTAAACTTGTTGTTTCACACAACAACCTGACCAATTCAGAAACGAAATGAAACGAACCGCTGCAACCTGCCAGGTGTCTGCCTAGTCCAGGGATGTCCAGGGGTTAAACATATATATATATATGTATCTAGATGTACATGTACATATATATTTACTGTATATAGATGTATATATACATATAGATTTACATTTACATATATATATATGTATATATATATATGTGTATATGTATATATATATATATATGTATTTGCACAGGTATTTAGGGTAATATAGGGCGAAAAAACTAGGAGGGGGAAAAGGTGGACAATGGAAGAGAAGATGGAAGCTACAATTACCACCAAGAACTCATCTCTCACACACCACAAGCTATTCGAAGAAGTCGGCGCAAACTACATAGTGATCGCAAGCATTATGCATGCCTGTTTTTTGAGCATATGAGCTTGCAGCAAAAAAGAGGATGCGAGCACTTGCTTGACGTACCTTGGGACGTGGTTGGGGAGTCTCAGCATGTTGCAATTTCCATTGAGTTTAGCTTCGTGCCAGGGACCGTCGGAGTCTCAGCCTTGTAGAAACGAGCAAGTCATTGTTTCGCTGGCCCTGGAAGAAAGCCGTGGCGCTAACAGGGAAATCTCAGTTTCTTATCCAGCGGTAGCAACATGTGCACTGCAAGCCTTGTAGGGCAGCCTTGTAGGGCAGCGTTGTAGTTCGCCACTTGCGTGAGCAAAAAACGCTTGACTGAGGCCAATTGTCAGCCCGCACAACGCAGAGGCTTGATGTTTTTGCTTAAGGGGACGCAAGTTGCCTTTCTTCCTCGCATGCCAAGAAATGCCATGTCTTGCCTCCCTAGGTTGAATGCAAATCGACATCTGCTTCAACATGCCACGTATAGCAAAGCGGTCGGCGCGCAACAAATTTCAAGTGCTGTGCAGCAGTTGTGAGGGACGGCAATGAGGACGCCAGAAGAACAGACATGGCGATGGATGATCATGATAATCATGATGATCATCATTGTTATGATGGTGATTATGATCCTGATTATTAGTGTAATAAACTTGTAATTGACTTGAAGCCAGCCTGTCAATTGCGCGTTCATGCATCAAGCGCAGTCTGCACCGTGGTGCGTGGAACTACCGACAATTACTATGAGTGCCTGTGGTAAACGACAGTTGCCTCGTGTGAGAATTTCGCGCTACGCGATCAATACGTGCAAGCAGGCTGCGAAGACGAGGCAAATGAAGAGGCCCTGGTGTTGTGCACATGTGTGTGCTATGAGTACCAGAATGCTGGCCAGGAAACAGAGTATTCACTTAAGGCACATCGGCCCAGAAAAGGATGCTCCTCCGAAACCCCAACTACAAGGTGTCCAGGTCAGTTTTTACCGTGGTGTTTGAGGCATTTTGGGTACTCTTGTCACACACGCCTTGAAGAGTTTCATGCACGTCACGCTCCATCTGTTCGGAAAATCGTTTTTTGTCAAGAGCTGGAAACTCCTTTGGTTTAGACACTTTTTTAGACCATTGTCGCGACCTGTCGCATGAATGCAAGTGGCTGCAGAACCTTGGGCCCATGCTTGCAGAGCAAATTGGATCGCCACATGAACACATGGACATAGTTTTCCACTTCCGGATGACGCAAGCCAGTAGCATTATCTTTGCTCGGGCATGGATGCTCTGGCGACCGGAGGCTCTTGGCTCACAAGCGCTATTATGGTTTGGACATGGGTGCTCTGGCGATCAGAAACTCTCGCCACTTTCTTGGTCATTGAAATGAAACGTCATGCTCATGCGACCTGGGCATGTCTGTGAAGATTCTTCGACGCAGTGTAAGAAGCACAAAATTTCATGATGTACTCTCTGAATCTCTCTGAAAAGCTTGGCTGAAACTACTCCAAACCCTGCAGAAGCCCTGAAGCCGAGGATGAAAGCCTCCAAGTCCCAACACGATACCCTCGAAGTCCCGAAGACGAAGCCCACAAAGCCAAAAAGCCTTGGCAACCCGTCCAAGTGGAAAACGCCAAAGCTGCAATTTCCTAAACATGCTCAAATCATCTCAAGACCCAGCCGAACACGCGAAAAGTTGACGAAATACCAGCGCAAAAGAAATATGGCCGTCCAACTACAGCATCATTGCAGATGAAAGAATGATCGCAAAAGCTGCAACTTGCTAGAGTGACCGCTTTAGAGTTATGATTGGAGCAGAGAAGTCACGAAAGCTTCCTGAGTGAGCCTTGGGATCCCGGGGGGGGTGGGGTAGGGGGGGGCACCAATTTTGTCTGGTTTTTTCAGCTGCCCTGCACCATCCGGTGTTGGCTCGGAGTGCCTTTTCGCGCTAGATTCTTGGGGCTTGTCTTGGGGTGATCTTGGGGGGATCTTGGGGTGATCTTGGGGGGTCTTGGGGTGATCTTGGGGGAATTGGGGGGATCTTGGGCGATTTTGGGGGGATGTTAGGGGCATCTTGAGGGCTTGGAGGGTGTTGTTTTAGGAGGCTTTCGGCAGGAGGGTTACGGTTGCAGTTCTTTTCATGGGCCGTCAGAGCTGCGTGCTCTTCTGGTTGTCTGTCGTCTGTCTCTTCACGTCCCGTGTCACCAGTCCTGACCACTATTGAGCTTTCGTCCGAGCCCGTGGCTCTCAAATTTGTTGAATCTCTGCTGAACACTTTAACACGTTAAGAAGGAGTATTGACCCGGACCAACCCAGATATCTCACTACTCCTTTCGGTGAGGGAGTATCAACCTGTGCCAGCGCTACTGCATTCACTGGCCTTAGGGGTTCGGTGGGATCCTGAACCTTGAAAGCACCTTTTCTATCTTTGTGACGCTGGCGCAACCTATGTAGAGCCTACAAGGTTCTTCCGCCGGCGCATTACCATTGTTACCATGATTCCTATTGCTAGTATGCTAGTATTGCTAGTATTCTCACAACCAATATTGTTACTACTGCTATTGCTTTCCTCTCCTTCCTTCCCTGCAAGGTGGGAGTCTGCATTTCGTAGATTGCAGAACCAGGGGGAGGCGACAACTGCTTGTTCAGGGATTTGTAAGGGATCTTGTCAGAGATTTGCATCTCTGTAATCCTGAAGAGACCATGAGAAACGAATAATCCTGAAGGGGTGCCGAGGGGTACACCATGCTGAGAAATCTCCATATAACGGTCTTGCAAATGTAGATTATTCACAGCCCAAGCAACTTGAAGGACATTTTCTCCAGCCATGAGGCGTTGGTATGGGATAGTCTTAGTCTTCAGTGCTGTGCTGCCATGCAACTAGGTCATTGGGCTGACATTTTAGGTGAAGTGTGTTTGTCATTGTTTGTCAACCAAGCTCTCCTGAAATCCCCTACAGTGACAGCAGTGATCTGCAGCATGGGGGGCCGATGCTGCTCAAGCTGTAGTACCGGCTTCATGCCGTAGGCATCTGTGCTGGTCGGCCCCATGGGTCCTCAGGCTTACTGGTGCGGGGAATGCATCTGCGAGCCACCTGATGCAAATGACGTTCAATTGCCAAGGTTTGCCAACGCACACAGCGAAGGGCAGCAGAATCTGAACGAGCTGCGGAGCCCAACAGCAAGCGATTTCCTGGGAGGCATTGACATGAGTGGGAGCATTGGACTCCAAGGCGCATTTCGGATGTGTCAACACGATGACCCACAACAGAAGCTACCTGTCTTGGAACACCGCCTCAGTGATTTGCTCTCGCACAAGGCGGGACCCTACCTGCAAATTGAAGCTGACCTCCTTCGAGGTGTGTCGCTTCGAAGCACACTTAGAGGGTTAGGATGGCTCTGGCGAAGCCATCGCTTTAAAGTCCCTGATGCCACATGGCGCCGTCAGTGGCAAACTTCGCGCCCTGTGAAAACCTACAAGGTCTTTGTTTCCCACACGTGGAAGACATCTGGTCTCCCTAAAGTGCTTGCGCTTATGCTGAGCTCTTGCTGGTGGCACGCGCTTGCTTCTTGGGCTGTGACATGCGCAGCTGTCATTGTGGTGCACGCCTACGTGCCAAGTCTACCTATGCCCTTCAGCCACTGCACGGCCTGGTAGAAGTTTTTTTGATGTTCTCACCAGATGCACTATGAAGTCCGGGCCCTTGAAAGTTCTGCAAAAGTTTGCTTGCATGCTAAGGCTTTCAGTGCCGCGTGATGGGCTTTGTGGCAGCGTGCCCGCTCGCACCATGGACTCTGATTGCCGGGTCTTTGGGGTTGATAGTCGGCCTCTTTGGTGGCCCATACTATCCCCACAGCCTTTGGTGGGGCAGTGACTCGGACATGTGCTTCTTGGATGCTGGCCAGCATGGGAGACAGAGTTATTGGGCTTATGGCTTATTCGTCGCAATAATGAATTTAACGCCAACTTTTCATTACGAGGATTGGGACAGCGTACTTCTTTCCTGCACTTTCAAACCTTGAGTCAACCTGTTGACAGGGGCCCAGCCAAGCATAGGACGTTGCCTGCATCCATCAAGCAGATGATGAGCTGAAAGAACGTGGTATCTATGGTATCGGTGGTTTTCTGCGACATGTGGCTTTCTGTGATCAGTCAGGCATTTTACCGCCTCCCTGTTCTTGGAAGGAACTTTGCATGATAGTCGAAGTGCTCCACTAACAGACCAAAAGGAGAATGAGAAACAGCCCGTCGACACTGCGCATTCCAAATCCAGCTGACTGAGGCGGAGGAGCTGCGCGTCTTGTGGACTCCGCCTTACCTCTCACGACTGTGGTGCCACTCCGCTGTGCTTTAGATGTTTAAGGAGTCGAGGGCTTTCTTGCTACTAAATGGTTTCTTGCTGCCGCATTCCGCGAAATGGGGTGCCGCTTCGATTGGTACATGTGTTTGGCCTCGAACCTCAGATTCGAGTCCTGCGAAACCCTACCAGCACATCAGAAGCCCAACCCCGGGTCAGATTTTACAAAACAAATGCACATGATGTGCCAGTGTGCAGGAACAGTCAGAAACCTTGCTTAGGCCCCACAGGACACTTGAAAGCATGCAACACAAAGGGGATTTTGTCTGAAATGGTTTCAAATGACGACCGCAGTAGACGTGGTTCTGGTAGACAAGGCTTAGTGATTGGAACAAAGCAGGGCTGGCTGATCTTTGAACCGGCCTCCCGATTTGACACAAGCACGACTTCTGAATTTTAAGCACTTGCAGATTGCCAATTGTTGGGGCTGGCTTGGAGACAGCCAAGGAATGACAAAACTACGTCCCCTGATACATCTACCCCTGTGTTATAAAGAGGGATCGTCGTTACACATCATTACATACTTTTAAGTTGTTTACATCTCAGGCTTTGTTTGGAAAATTTTGGAAACTAAGGCATGACTCGGCATGACTACAGTAAGTGACCTATCACTCTCCCGCATTTCCTTTTAGATTTGGGCACGGAGCGTCTTCTCACGGCATCCTGAAAGATTAGGGGCTCGGTGCCAGCATCATGGAAAAAGAGGCATTGTTCAAAATGCGGGCAATCATGAAGTCAGGCATCCTATGCTGACCATTGTTGATGATTGGTTGTTTATTAGGCAACTTGTCCTGCTATTGTTTCTCGTTACGTTCACACTGCTCAGAACATTGTGTACTGTGCGTACTGAAGAAGCCGGCCCGAGACCTTTAGCCCATTTCCACATTCCCTGTTCAGGGCAGCGAGAGGCAGGGCCCCACACCCCTTTCGCACCTGGCATGTTCCAAACCTATTTTCCGACTGCCCGCCCGTGAGTGATTGTATTCGAGCTGTTTGTGTTCGCATTCCTGCGTTCAATGGCCTTATGTGCTTGTATCTGTCTGTCAGCTTGAAAGATAGACCCTCGGAGATACGACAGAGCCGCTATGAGCCGCTATCCTGCATGTGTTGCAGTTGCCCGTTGCAGGCTCCCCAAGGCTCACTAGTTTGTGGGTTTCAAACAGCAGAGTTGTGATGCTCGGCATTGCTCGGCCATTTTTCACGCTCCCATACCCAGAAATTGATTTTGTCAGCATGGCCCCGCATCATTCAAATGCAGATGACGCCTCAGAAGAGTGAGCAGAAGGAGCCCAATCCTTGTGTGTCCTCTAGCCAGTGATAGTTCCCCAGACCAAAGCCAGAAACAAAACCATGAGTGATCCGCACTCTCTGGATGAGGATGAACTCTTGCATGAATGCGTAACCGACAAAGGCAGTGTGAGACATTGCCTTGTCATGGTTTGTCTTTCTTTTGCTCGCCTTTGAAAACTTGTGTTTTCGGTACGACTGGTTCCATGTGTACACGCCCTAGCCACAAACCAGATGCTAGGCATTTTCGAGCTGGCAGCCTATCGCGTGGCGAACCCCTCCGGGATGCTTGGTTGAGGAATCTGTGCCCATAGACTTTATCATATTACATCTTAAGCAACAGATGAAAGTGCACGGAAGGAAGAAATGCAGACGCGCAACCAACAAGTATAGATGTGATCACTGTGATGATGTTAGTTGAGGACAGTCCGCGTAGCGATTGCCCCTGTGTTTTTGGGGCGAAATTTGATTTCGTGTTGAGGGTACCTCCGTTGAAGATACCGTCAGCATTTACAGTCCAATCCAGACCCTTGTAGACAGGGGGCCTTCGCCCGAGTCAAAAGCCTGTCGAACGACCAAGAGGTTGGACCCACTCCAATGGGAAAGCCCGTCTGCTTAACCCGCATCCCTCCTAAGGCTTGACAATCCCCATCCCCCACATGCACAAGGGCTGCAAACCAATCCGGCAATCACACCCAAAATTCTACCAGCCAAGGAGGATCACTCTCGCACCCATATTCATCGAGCATTCTGTACTCTTCCTTTTGCCTGCCATGTGGAGCGCCTCGTGGAGCTACTGGCTGGCTCTTACCATTGGCTTGCAGGACCCAAGGTGATCTTGATACTCATCTTTTTTTTTTCAGGTAGTCTAGGGTTATATTGGCAGCGACCTGGGGATCTAAAAGCAGCGTTGTGGAGAGGAAGACGAGAGGGCACCCACCAAAAACGATAAGTATTATTCCAAACCCCAAACGAAAAACAAAAGGCCACTCACCTTACAAGGGTCTTACCGTCTTACCAAAACCCGTTTCATTCCTTCAAAAAAGGCATTACAGAGCACCCTGGCAGGGCCAGAGTTTTGGGTTTACGGCTGATATTGCGAGTCACAACTCTAGCAGCAACAACGCAGCAAGCTTTGCAATTATTGTTCGGAACAAGCATGAAAAGGATGACTATATAGTTCTAGCAGCCATCACTGCAGTCTAATACTGATAGGAGCCACACATTCATGAATCATAACAGCGCAGTCCACAGAATTCGTTCACAGGACTATGGCTACCTGATGAGCGAGGCGCTTCCAATTGGATTTGCCATGCTCCCAGTTTTGGGCTTTGTGCACGGCCTCCGACGTCTTTTCTGCGAAAAACACCGGCTCTTTGATGACCTTCAGAGTTTCAAGCTCGAATCCGCTGAGTGCACCGAGTTGTTTGACCACATCTTCGTTAACTCAGCGATCCAGAAGTGGTATGGCAGTACCGAAGAGTTTGAGGATTTTGTCAAAGGGCCTTTATTTTGCGAGATATCCGGCAACTCCACACAGGCTGTGGATGTGCCGTTGCAATACTGCCTTCTCCTTAGCACAGGGCCACTCAGCGTAGGCATGGATGAAACTATATCTCTGTGGGCCGGAGGGGCTTCAACACCGATTGCATCCTGGCTGTTCTGTTAGCTGGCCGATGCTGGCAGATGTCCTCTTGGCGATAATGACCTCAAATTACTATATGTCTGGAACCGTGAAGGCAATTAGAAATCCAAAATCGTGAGAAGAGTCGAGGTAACTACCTCTCTGGTGGGGCACGTCTACTCAATTTGTCTTTGCTGGGTGCTGGTCAGCGTGAAGCTCCTGTACTACCTTTGTGATCGCTTCGCCGTTGCAAGACGCCCTGGCCTTTTCAACTACGTGCAGCTCCTCTTGGATCAGAAAAGGGCCTTGTGATAGCAACTGAAAATGGGACGAGGAGTGATGATACTAGAAGTGTTTTACACGAAGCAAGGGTAGGAGAAAGAGCGTTGTGGTAGCAATGCTGTATAGGCGGCATGCTAGCGCTCTGCAAGTGCAGCCCGTTCAGAAAGGGACACCATAAGTTCAGCAGGACTTGCTTTGTTGAAAGCTTTGCTTGGGCTTGTTGAGATTCCTAGAACATGTTTGGCATACAGGTTCTCGTGGGCTTTTCAGAATGGGGATTGGACGGATGCCTTCCTGTCCCAGGCCTAATCCAAATTTGGCCCATGGTTCTGAGCTTCTGCAACAGCTGCTTCATCACAGCTACTGTGACAGTTTGGCACGGACAGGCATTGACAAGGCTCCTCTTATGCGTGGAAAGCCACTATATACTCCTGTGCTGGCAGCAGCCTTTTGCTGGGTGGGCATTTGTACTCATAGAGGTCATCGGCGGTAACCGCAGCAATGTGTTGTAATAACTGCAGCCAGCAGTTGTGTTTGCTGAGAAGCCAAGGCAGACCGTCCTCGTGTATTTGACATTCAGCGCTTGCTTCCTCATAGGGAGCTACACAGGCCTGGGAGGGGGAACAAGCTCATCCGACAGAGCGTAAGCCATGTGCATCCACAGAGGGGCTCCTCCTGTATTTTGCTTAAACGTATATAGGCACATGAACAGACAGATTCCCTGGCCCTGAGGATAGCACCAGACCACCAGCAGCATTTAATGGCCCGCTTACATCAGGAAGCTCAAGTCTTCAATCGTCAGCCATAAAGCCTAGACTTCGGCAAGACCTCAGAACTCTTATGATAATTGCTCACATCTACGCAAGTGCAGGCAGGGAGGCCATGCTTGAGAGTGGTTTGGAGGTAATGGTACTTCCCGACAGGTGAGTTGGCCTACCGGCATAGCCTGGAAGCAGCTGTTTGCCATGCTAGCATCTCGGCTGATCAGCTTTCGGTGAAGCTTCGCTTAAGCCGCGCCATGGACTCCTAGTCTAAAGCTCCATGAAGGTTTCCAATATGAATGTGTTTTATCAATTGTGCAATTCAGACGTCTGCTGGTTCCAACGTAGGTCAATCTCCTTGCCTGTTGAAGTCGGTTGGATGTAGTAGGTGACGGTTTCGCTGCTGCGATGAAGGATTCCAGAATTGCATCTAGATAGCTGTAGAAGGATTAGGCCTACAACCGTCCAAGCTTTTTCCAGGACTTGCGACCAGAAACCGCGGCTGTTGCAATGGCTTGGTGGCACTGTAGGGATTAGCAGGTGCAACAATGACACAGAACCGGATACATAGCGGTGTTTGTTGTTGCGCATCTTGTCTAGGTAACTTGCAGCGCAAGCGTATTCTTTGACATGTATCGGATTGTTTTAGACCTGTGCTTGCAACAATGCATTATGTGCAAGCCATCAATTTTGCACCAAAACTATGCCAAAGGGAGCAGTAGTTAATTACCGCGCAACTAGCCATATCATCACAGGTTAGGCTTTGGACGGGCGCGGTTGCAATGAGAATCAACAGGCCAGCATTTGAAGAGATGCGTCTCGACACGCAGCACTGAACCCCATCAAGGAATACAGTATCCATAATTGCGACCCCTATCTGCCACCAGCGCTAGAACATTAGAAGCAGCGATAGCTTCAACAAGAGCGGCAACAACAACAGTCATCGCAGGGAGGCAGTTAGTACATCAACTGCAGTACTCCCTCTCCGGCATCTAGACTTCGTAGGGGACGGCAGGAGTTCAGCATTCGGATCCCAAACCGGAATGTCTGCAAATGCTGAATCGAAGATGCCTCAACATGTCAGACGCCTGGCCATTGATGAACGCCATGATATCAGGCGTTCACGTGAACCTGTTTCTGTGACCCAAAACGATGCGGCAGTAGAACGTATTACCTACTTGTTCCTTGATAGGGTTGGTTGAATGGGTTATGGCATTCAGTACAGAGGCAATGAGCGGTAAGGTCTTAGGGACTACCATGTGAGTCCATTCCCAAGTGAGCTCAGGTAGGATTAGGGATCAGGAAGGGACAGCATCTAGCGAGAATGGTACCCCAGGCACATCTACCTTGGTGGCATGCCTGGCCTGTGGCGGGAATCGGCTTTCCCGGTATGTCTCCGCGAGCATGAAGCGTCTGGGATGTCTCGGGTCAGCCAACGATGCCAAAGAACAGGAGTGCGCTGGACGCACGCCTCCGCTTGGTGACAAGGCGTGACAGGACGGTTTTGCCTGAAGAGTTCGTGGAGCGTTCTCTCAGGTTTCTAGCTCTAGCATACTAATGCTTGTACAGCAGCAGCCTGATCTCTGCCTTCCAACAGTCTTTAATCTAGCATGTCTTATCGGACGAACCGCCCACGCTGCAGATCTGCATGTAACCAGTATGTTACCTTGGCTACGGCATTCCTTGTTTCCATAGCATGCTGCCTATGGGGGATCTGATCTGCCGCCCCGGGTGTATGCAATCTGCATTTTCTATTCTGCCATTTACCAGTTGTGCAGGCGCTCCACAGGAGCTTCCCTGCCAACGGAATGGGCACCATTACAGGTCCTTTAGTGCACTCATCGCACAGACCGGGCGATGGTGCGCGGACTGTCTTTCCTACGAGCTGCATGATTCACTCGGGACGCAGCTTCGAGCCAGAGACAAAAACGTGTTGCCCCCAAACCATGAGTGAGGTTGGGCCGAGGTGTGTACAGGGCGAAGCGGGGATTTTGATTGAAGGCTGTCATGACCCTGGCTTCGTAAAAGGAAGCAGCCTGACGTGCACATTTGTGGCCTGGAGGTGCACTGTGACACGCTGCTGCAAGCTCTGGAGCTTGCGGGGTTCACGATCTTACGCCAATCCTGGCTGGATGAGGTGGCGCCAGCATTCATATTGAGAAAGTGTTGCAACTCAGTTTATCCATTACAGCTAGGGTAGCCTACAAAAAGCGAGGAATGCACACACTAATTGTCAGCACACATTGTGCCAGTACCATAAGCAGATGCAGATCAAGGCGTATCTGGGTTTTTGCTCTTCAGGTGTTTAGCTATTCCGGGTGGAGGGCTTATGAATGTCGAATACATGTACTGCTCACCCAGAGCTACTTGTCTTCATTCTGTTTTCATACTTTTGAGGAAGTGAGTCATCGTAACCCTTGGAGCAGTAGTTACGCCAGCAGTCATGATAGCCAGTAGCAGCAGTACAAGTACATAAAGCCAAGGTATGAAGCAAGGATTGCACTTCTAGGTTGGTTGCAGTATAGAACATTGCCTGTCATTCATGCGTATGGGAGAGGTAAATCTAAATGCACTTTGCACCCCGCGGCCCTGATGCTAAACCAATCTAAACCACAAAACTCTGCAGGCTAACATTGGGTACTCTTCCTGAGACATCACTTCCTAATTACAATTATAATGTAGAAGCCGGAATAACTAGGAATATTATCTCCTGGTAGATCCTGGTTTCTTTACTCAGTAAAAGGTCCCCCCCAAACCCACTGAGAAGCTCCTGCAGTAAAGCAAGGGACCTTGCTTTCGGAACCCACCAACATGTCTCTGCAAGCCAGGTAGTGGGCCAGATAACAAGGCTGCAAACTCAGTGTTTAGGGTTTCAGGTATCGAGTTGAGGGGCAAAGCTTCGGGTCCAGGTGTAGGTTCTGATGTTCAGCACTGTCGTACTTTTCCATGTAGGTGATGAGGAGTAGTATCATGCTGACAGGCACTGCATTGCAAAGATGATTGTAATCAGTCGTGGCGACTCGCGCCTCTCTGCTAATTGCTGCTCTTCCGTAGCTTCGGCTCCAAGTCGTTGGGATTCAGAGCTGGCACTGAGACTCAATGCGAGACATTAAACGGGAGCACCTGGGCCACGATTCGTGTCCGTGGCAGTGAGCAGTGTCCCAAAGCTGAAAAATGCCACCGCTGCAGCCGCAGGTACAACTCCCTTGACCTGGATGAGTTTATGCAGATGCTGCACATGTACGAGGATTTGCTGAGCAGATGGCATCTTTACCATCTTGCAAGAACACCATGGCTAGTGCAAGAACCAAATCACGAGCGCATGACTTGCCGTCATCAATAATTGTGACTCAAGCATTGCCTTTGGTGTTGTAGGCTCCACCTGTCTGGGCGTGTTCAACTTCAACTGTAGCGCGGGTTCCAGCTGTGTCCAAACTTTCCGCCATCACAAGCGTGAGCTGCTGACTACTTTGTGACTTTTTGGGGGGTTTTGAGAGGATTGAGACCAGCGACTGAGTGGGGGCCCTCGTAACCATATTCGGGGAGCGCTAGCCAAGTCAAGCAATGAAAACGTAGTGTTTCATGCAAACTGATGACGCATAATAAGACAAACTGATTTAGGCACCAGATTTGATTTTGAGAGTGGAGCCTACCCACCTGTAAGAGCTGGGAATTTCTCATGCCGGCGATGTGTCCCAGCATGTCCAAGCATAACGGTTGCTTCTTTCAGGATCTTGTTTGCATGTATTAATTAGAGATGCGATGGGCACTCCATGCGTCCTCAATCTTGGAGTGTCAAGACTGACTTTCCGCGGTCCTTTTGGGAGCATCTGTGCCAGATGGATCTCACGTTGTAGAGCTTACCAGTTGGAGCCACATTCTGATGAGCGGCTACGTTTGTAATTGTATAAGTGTATGTAATGTCTGAACCAACTGGGACCAGGCTTGCATAACTAGAATTATCATTGGAAAATGTAGCTGTCTGCAGTTGTTATGTGCCAT